GGGCAAGGGGTGGCTTCGCCCAGCATTTGGGCTGAGCCGTCCCTGCCTGCCGGCAGCTCAACAAGTCGGCGATCCTGAGGAAGGCGATCGAATACATCCGCTTCCTGCAGCAGAGCAACCAGAAGCTGAAGCAGGAGAACCTCTCCCTGAAGATGGCTGTGCAGAAGAACCGTGAGTGGAAGGGCAGGTCTGGGGGGAGGGGGGGACAGGGCTCAGCTGTACCCCCCAGCACCCCTCAGCCCACTCTGCTCCCCACAGAGTCCCTGAAGGACCTGGTGGCCTCCTGCAGTGGGGGGGCCAAGGCAGAGGCCCCCATGGAGGTGGTGAAGGCAGAGGTGATGGAGATGCTGACGCCACCACCCTCGGACGTGGGCTCGCCGTCCCACAGCAGCCCACTCTCGCTCAGCGGGGGCAGCAGCAACAGCAGCAGTGACTCGGAGCCTGACAGTCCCCTCTGCGACCATGGCAAGGTGTGGGGGGGCTGTGGGAGGGATCCTCCCACCCTGAGTCGGGCAGGGGATCCACTGCATCATGCCAGAGGTGCCAAGAGCAAAGTGCGCCAGATGCCGGCATGGGGAAGGGAGCTGAGAGCCCTGGTCTTGCTCTCTGAGGCTGCTCCTCACATGATTTGGGGCTGGAGGGAGGGGTGCAGAGGCATTTCGGGGTGCAGTGGGCTGTTGCAGCTGTGCCCTGTGCTCAAGCCCTGTCCCCCAAAATGTGCTCTATGCCCCATGCCTATACCCTGCACTCCATGCCCATGCCCTATATCCCATGCCCTATATCCCATGCCCTATATCCCATCACCACACCCCATGTCTGTGCTGGCGCCCCGTGCCCCATGCTCACAGCAGCTCTGCCCGCGCAGGTGAAGCAGGAGCGCCTGCCGCCCTCGCCCAGCAGCCAGGGTATGCTGGACCGTTCCCGCATGGCCCTCTGCGCCTTCGTCTTCCTCTGCCTCTCCTTCAACCCCCTGGCCTCCCTTCTCCGGGGCTCTGGTGCCCCAGCCCCTGTGGGGACCCCGGGCACTGCTGGCCCTGGCAGGAGCATCATGGCTGAGTCTGGCGCCGTGGGTAAGCTCTGGGAGTGGGGTGGAGGCTCCTGGGGTGGGCGGTAGTTGCTGGGGTGGGCCGTTGGGGTGGTACGCCACTGGGATGGAGGTCATTGGGATAGGTGTGGGGTAGAGGCTCTCAGGCTGGGCATGGGGCAAAGGCCATTGGGATGGAGGCCATTGGTGCTAGTGTGGGCTGGAGGCTGTTGAGGGGAAGACCATCGGGGTGCAGGATGTTGGGGTGGGTGTGTGGTAAAGGCTACCTGGGTGGAGGCTGTTGGGGTGGAGCCCATTGGGATGCAGGCTCTTGGGTGGGCATGGGGTGAAGGCCAGCAGCAGGGGGGTCTTGAGGTGGGTCTGAGCTGGGAGATGACTGAGGTGGAGGATGCTGAGGTGGATGCAGGGCA